AATAAGGATTAAAACCCCCGGGTCAAAGAAATTTTCCCCTATAATTTGACCGGAAAAAGGTTGGTTTTTTCAAAAATTTTATGACAAAAAGGGGATCAAAATATACCAAATAATGTTTTGCATAAATTTTTTTGAAATTAGGCCCTTTTTAAGGGAAACCCAAGGGGGTTTAATATTAACTAATACCTTTTTAAATGTGTATACCCAAAAATTTTTTTTTATTTTCAGAAAAAATCTTTACATTCAAGGGGCAATATGACATTGACCTTTTACCTTAAAATCAAAAAAAGGGTTTTCTATGGCCAAAACCAAAAGCACCTGTAAAGTTTGAAAAGGGAAAAGGGGCCCCCTAATTGTTGGGGTTGATAAAAATTTTTTTAATAATGGTTTAAAGTTATCCTTTTAAAACCCAAAAAAAACCTTTATGAAACTTCTGAAAAAGCAATGCCTTTTTAAAAACTTTAAGTAAAAGGGGGGCCCCGGGTTTTCCCGATTTTTTAATAAAAACATTTTGAAAAACAATCCCAAACATTTATTTTTTACCCCAAAATCAATCTAAATCACCCACAAAAAATTTTTACCAACAGCCCTAAGGGTTGTCAATTATTTTATCGGAAAAACCCTTTTTTTCCTACCCAAAGGGCAATTGGAAATTGACCTTTAACCCTTTTTGTTAACGCCAAAAGGGAGGTTCCCCGTTTTTTACCTAGCTGAACTTTAAATTTTTTTTAAAAAAACATCGGGGGCCCAAAAGACATGGGGTTTTCCTTAAAATTTTCTGTTTTAAATGCCCCCAAGAACGCTTTTGTTAAAAGTGCGTATTTTTTAACCCTGCGTAATTACATTTACATAACTTTTTTAATTTAAGTGTTTAAACCAAAATGACAATTTTGTCCCCAATCCTCGTAAACCCAGGCTATTTTCTGGGTTTTTTTTTGGGGTAAATATTTTATTTGGGGGAAAAAAACAGAATTCTCACCGTTTGTCTACGATATCAGGAAACCTTTATAATAATTTTAAAACTTTTTAAAATTAACATTCTTCTATTTCTTTACATTTCTTAAAAAAAAAGGGTTTTTTTTAAAATTAAATTTTAACATCCCAAAAAATTTTCAGCTCTGGTGACTTTTTGGGTTTTGGGAAAAAGTCCGGGTTTTCCCCCAAAGGGGGGGTTTTTAAACACTAGCGGTCACAATTTTTTCTTTTAAAACATCATCAAAATTTGTCAGGAGGGTTGGGTTTTGGGGAATTTTCTTGGATGAATTCCGAACAGGGGCATCTCGGGTAAAAAAAATTTTTTGGGCAGAGAAAAAAAAATAAAAATTTGAAAACCTTTCGTTTTTGGGGAAACTCTAGTGGGCTATCGTTTTTAAACAAAAAATCAGGAAAATTAGTCTGAAATTTGGGTTTTATTATTTCTAGGTCAAGTTTGAATATGGATAAACCTTGGGTCAAAAACTAGGCCAACAGCCCAAATATGAAAAAAACCTCTTAAACTCTAATGGTCACTTATTTTTAATCAATTGTCCTTCCCAAAAATTAGTCAGGATTCTGTCGGATAAATGCTCGGATTTGTTTCAAGTATGGGTCATTTCAATTGAAAAAACTAGGTTCAGAAAGAAATTAAAAATAGCAAAATCCTTTAACACTCTAGCGGCCTAAGTTTTTATCCCCAAAGATCCTGGAAATTGGACAAAAAAAGGGTGTTGTTTTTGATGAATTTTCTATTAAGAGTTCAATATTTGGGTCATCTGGAGTCAAAAACTAGGTCACAGAGCCCAAATATGTAAAAAATCATGTAAACACTAAGTCTATTTTTTGATGCCAAATAATCCTGGAAATTGGGTTGGTATATCTAGGGCAAATTTTAAATAATTTATCTTTGGGTTTAAAACTAAAAAAGGGCCACAGCCCAAAATTTAAAAAAAGCATTTAGCGTTTTATAATCATGTGAAAGGGTATGAGGGCCGGGGGGGCCCTTTTTCCTTTTTTTTATTTTAAAAAATTTGTTTTCAGTTGCAAATTAGGTTTTTCTTTTACTTAACATTTTAATCTATATTTATCTAATTTTTTAAAAAACAATTTAAATATTTCAAAGAAAAAATAATTTTTTCGTAAAATAAATACAAATAACTTTTTAAATTGGATACCCAAATCAAGAATATTGTTGTTTGTTTTAAATTGCCAAATTAAATTATTCCATGCCTTTTTAAAAGGGGTTGCATTTTACTGAACTATACCCTTTTTATTAATTTCCCTTAAAGCTGTCTTTCTTTAGTCTTTTAAAAAATTTTTTTTAAACAGTATGGAAAAACCACTGGCAGAGCCTCGTCCCCCCATGTCCTCATTAAAGCATAGAACCGCTCTATTGTTTCTGGGCAATATTTTTAACATACAATGTTTTATCACTACACAGGCAACTGGGTGATCGACTGTTAGTTGGGGCAATAGATTTTGGAACGTCATTTTTCTGGTTTGGGCATTCTCATGTTTTAAACATGGAAATGAAAGAAGTCCCCCCAGGTGGGCAAGTCCGTTTAAAAAGTTTGGCATGCCTCCAGGAAGAAATAACCACAGAGAAAATCCACCGACGTGTTTATTCCTGAAAGAGACGGAACATTTGATTCATTTTGGGGGCCTATGATGCAAAAAAAGATTATGGAGGCTCTCAGCCCAACATCTACATCGGAATACTTTCTTCCCTTCAGGGCAGTTTAAAATCTGAAGGGCTCTTTTTGAAAACCCCGCCGCTATCGTGTGTTGATCGGAAAGGGATAAAAATTAGTTATTGAAAAAAAAACTGAAATAGCTTTTATTTTTTTACAATGGTTTTTGTATGGTAGATGTTATATATTGGTATAAACAATATGTAACTGAAAGTTAAAAATACAAAAAAAAAACAGACTATTATATAAGTTACACGATGGATTTGTTGCCAATAGTAAAAATGTCATCTTCTCGGGGAAAATATTACAGTCTTTCTTATGACGGAATGACATTTTTACTGGTAACACAATGTTGATGATCTGAAATTGTTTGACACATAATTATTTCACAATACAATTACTTGCGATGAAAAACAGGAGTTTTACTTTTTGACTATTCAACAAAAAGATATTTTTATTCGCGAAGCACTCCAGGGGTGCAAACAACTTAATTTTATGGGTGGCAAGTCACTCTGGTTGATGCCCTATCGTACTGAACTTCGACAACAAGAATGAATAGAGAAAAAAAATGGCGTTTTTTATTTTACTCTCCTTATTTAGAAAATAGACCACGTGACCAGATTTTATACTGTTCAAAAAGTAGTAACCGGTAACAGTATAACTTTTTTGGCCAAGTGGTTCACTTGCATCAACCTTAAGAAATAACTCCCAGATGCCTTTCGGAAATTAACATCACGAAGAAAGGATAATGAAAATGTAATGTTAAAGATGTAATGCTAAGAACTGGCTAGAGAAAAGTCATTATTATATTACATTTCTTGTTGTATTTTACAAGGGTATTAAAAAGAGATATGATGATACGTGATGAGATTGGGAAAGCAGTTTTTAGCAATAGATGTTTTGCAATATCGATTAAAATACCTGGTAGAGGATTTTGATTAAAATTGTTAATCAGCGAATAACAGGCAAATTATTACCCACTGATATCGGCTGGGGTATTAACAGTTTCCTGGCAATATGGTTCAGATGCATCAAAGCAGTTTTTATGAGAGAGGCGGCGATAAAAAAGTGTGTATCCTAATTTTACCTTATATATTATACATTCTGTATGAAAGTTTTTTTTTAAATATATGCAAAACTAATCTGCTAAAAATCCACTCTGTTCGACAGGTTTTGTAGATCTTTTAATGTTTTACAATTCGTAACTTCTTTCTATACGTCTTCAATCAATGAATTTTTTATATGTTTGGGGGGCAATCTTAAACGTTTATGTAGGTCTAGTAATTCAGCATATGCGTGCTAGATTGTTCATTTTACAAGAAAAAATATCAATTTCTACATTCCAACATAAATGGGGTCAAACCTGGTATCAGGAATACTTTATAAAAAAGATGCATCTATTTTTCTTTTTAAAAATATTACTTTCTGTAAAACAATTTACTTCTTTTTTTTTACAGGTGGCATTTACAATGACCAGCTTAGAATTGCTCTGGAACCCGAAGCTGCTTCAATATATTGCCGCCATTTTACCAGTAGATGCATCAACAATACGAGAGTAAACTAGCAGCAATATCAAATCTTCGATTGGTACCGAAAATATATGGTTCTAGACGCAGGAGGTATTTAATGTTTTAATAACACCTGTTATGGTAAATAGTCAAGACATTTCAAAGTCACACTTTCAAAGTGACACTTGACCAAAACTATGAGTAAACGTCGACTGTTCAGGTAAAAATCAAAAATAACATTTCGTCTTATTTGTTTTTTTAAATTTTATAATAAACATATCTGAATTATCAATATCCCCCATGACCTATCTATATTTATCAATAACATTCAGTTGTTTTTTTTTCTTAAAAAGTAGAGCACTCTTTTTATTGTTAAGCAGTTTAATTATTATATCCTTAAATTTAAGTCATTATCATTTATTGGCCAATGACCATCATAATAGCAAATCTTTTGAAATATGTAAGTACTTTTGCTCATTGTGACAGTAAAAAAGAGCATTAAGTTACTTTTACTTAATTTTGTCTGATTATGAGTGTATCAAAAAAGCGTAATGCCAATATAGTGTGTTTGATATAATAGCTTCATCCTGGACCTTTGAATCGTCAGTTTTCTTAAATAAATCGTCATATGCATTTGTAAATATTAACTAGAAATATAGCTCTAATCAGCTCTTGAAAATGTTTATCTAATATATTTATTCATTGAATTAAGGTGGTACAATCGATATCACAGTCCACGAGGTTCAAGAATCTAACACGCTAAGAGAAGTAAGAGCGGCAAATGGCGGTGCTTGGGGTGGAACTTTGGTGAACAAAGCATTTGAGGAATTCTTAAGGGAAATTGTTGGTGATCTCGTGATCGAGTCTTTCAAAATGAAAGATACTGAAGATTGGCTTTACATGTCACTTCAATTTGAAGCAAAGAAGAGACAGATAGAAATCAAATCGCCTAGGTACATCACCTTTCGTTTACCATTATCTCTGATTGAATTATGTGAAAGGTTAAATGGAATGCATATTCGGGATGCAGTTGCTGCCTCAAAGTATGCTGAAATAGTTGATATAGTCCGTGATAAACTTAAACTCTCAAAAGTTGTTTTTTTCTATATGTTTGGTCAAACATTACAAAGAACAGTTGATCATGTTAAGTTTTTATTTAGAGAAACAACCATTAGAGAAGTTGATATCATTCTTATGGTTGGTGGGTTTTCAGAATCACAGTTGCTGCAGGGCAAGCTCTGAAAGAAGCATTTCCGAATAAAGAAATAGTCGTTCCATTTAACCCTTTCATCGTGTGTACTAAGAGGTGCCTTGATGTATGGCCATACACCTTTGACGATAAATGGCAGAATTCTAAAGTATACATATGGCGTAGAATCATGTATAGACTTTAAGGAAGGTCATCACCCAGATAAGAAGAAAATAAATACGGATGCCGGGTTTTGCTGTGAAGATAACTTTTCAATCTTTGTGGCGAAAGATACCGTTGTTAAGTCAAATGATACGTACATCAAACAAAGATTTACGACACTTTACAAGTATCAAAAAGCAATGACTGTTAGTTGCTTCCTATCAGAGAAGAAAAATCCAAGTTATGTTGATGAAAGATGGATGTTTAGAAATAGCAGGCAAATTTGAAATATATCTTGACAATCCTGACGAACGTTTAGACCGCACAGTTAGTGTCTCTATGGCGTTTTGGTTGATACAGAAATCACGGTGGATGCTGAGGATGAAAGAACCGGGAATAAAGCAAAGAGCAGTTATAGATTTTCTAGGTTGAAGCCGTGATGTAAATAAAAGAATGATACAACAATCGTTGAAACAATATAATTAGCAAGAAAAGTGTAATATGATATAAGACTTCTTGACTTAAAAGGCTATCAAAGACAACATTACAATTTTTGTCATAAAATTCATATCAAGTGTTTCACGTGACAAGCTAAATTACGCCTCGAAAACGTTTTCTAACTCATTAGAATTAAAACAATTAGTTAAATTTGCCTAAAAAATAATGATTTACATAAACTAAAAACTAAATTATAGAAAATGATAGAAATTAGTCTATCTTGAAAATGTATAGCTAATCGCAACACATATACATTTATTTACATACATTAATTAAATCAAATGTGAGATTTATACATAACATGGTACTATAATTGATAAATTGATTAAATATACTAGTATTTTGCTGTGACTACAAAAAAGGACTCTCACCGTGGGTTGTGAAATAGATAAATACAGAATCCCTAGCCGTCTGTATTTCCTGAAGCTAGAACCGGGCTTGGGTTTTCGTTAAGAACAACTAGAAAGGCCTATCACCGTGAGTTAGGACAGCTTGACTGTATTCACTGAGTGAAGAACCGGGCTTGGGTTCTCGAACAACTAGAAAGGCCTATTACCGTGTGTTTGGGCAGTTTGACTGTATTTTTGAGGGTAGAAACCGGTTTTTTTTTTTAGTTTATAACTAGTTTATAACTTGACCATGCTGACTGAATTCCCTCGGCTAAAAACGGATATAACTACCAGAAAAGCCTTTCATCGTGAAATTGGTCAGCTTAACTTCATTCCATGAGGCTAGAACAGTCTTGGGTTTTCGTTAAGATCTACTAGAAAGGCCTATCATCGTGGGTTTGGTCTGCTTGACTGTCTCCCTGGGGCCAAAACCGGGTTTGGGTTTACGTTAAGAACTGATTGAAAGGCCTTTCACCGTTGAATTTTTCAGCTTGATTGTATACAATGAGGCTAGAACCGGGCTTCGGCTTTCGTTTATAACTACAAGAAAGGACTATTACCGTAAATTTGGTCAGCATGGATGTATTTCCGGAGGTAAAAACCGATGGAATTTCGTAATAAACAACTAGAAAGGCCTATTACCGCAGGTTTGGTCACTTTGACTGTATTTCCTGAGGCTTGAACAGTCTTGGGTCTTCGTCAAGAACAACATGTAATAGAAAGCCTATCACAGTGGCTTGGGGACCATACGCCGCTTTTCATGGAATGGCACGGAAGTGTCACATTGAAGGTTCCATGATAACCGCCGTATGAGCACATTTGCGGATGTTTCTAAATTCAAAATTTTACTATTTCATGTTTAAATGATGAATTCTGCTTAAGCCGGTGCTAGGGGGCGTGGACGGTAGCTTGCACTTTCCAGTACCGCCCATGAACAGGCTCAATCAAACCGAGCCTGCAACATTTTCAATTTTGCCGTGTTGGGCTTTCTTTAGGGATTATGTATTTATCTATTTGGTTAGCTTGACTTTATTCACTGAGGCTAGAACAGTGCTTTGGTTGGTCATACCATAAATTTATTCAGAAAGAAATTTAGCTTAGAATGTTTATTGGGTTTTTGTTGTATAAGTCTAGAAATCAACACCTTATCATTTTAAATCAAAGTGATTTTACTTTCATTCTTAAAAAACATGATGTCATTAACCTGTTATTAAATTAAATTGTTTCTGACTCTTCTTATCAGTTTATTTCGATTATCTAGACATTCCCCAAAGATGCTAGCTCGAGATGCCAGTATGCTCGACTTGAAGAAGTTTCAAGTTAATTCAATATATATTCCAATTATGCATATTAACAATAAAAAAAAACATGAGACATTTGTAATAATCAATTATAATGATGAATAAAATAAACAGTCACATTAACATGTAAGGACATCACTGTATGAATATATAAGATGTAAAAATAGGTTTCGGGTTTATCAATAATTACCTAATGTAATACAAGAAAAAGAAAGAGAACAATTTAATCTGTCAAACAAAGTGTAACTGTTTCTTGTCTTGAACGCTAATTGGCTAATTATTAGTGTTTTGGTGTCCATGTTCCTGGCAAATTATATTTTTAATTTTGTTTATTATTTATTTGATGCGAATTTTGTTGGCTGTCAATGGCACGCGTTTTGTGTAAATATTACACAGTATTACTAGGTAAGACAAATAATGTTATAATTATCTGCTAATGTAAGAAACTCATGCACATCATGAATATTTACACGTGGTCTAGACTATAGTTTGGTTTAAGTGAGGAAAGATGTGTTAAATAAATACTATTTTAAATAATAATGTAAATGCGTCAGAAATTAACTTAAAGGCAATTATTATAATAGATATGTATGTCAATTTCATTGAAAATGAGCCAGCCTTAACACAGCCGAATATTAATTTTGAACAACATTTAAAAAAGTAAAGAGGCAATGGGATATAGTTAGTTTGTCAGGACAGAAACTGGAGAACTGGTATGCAGTAAAGCTTTCCTGTTTCTGTATAGGATTAACAAAATAGGATAAATAAATTAGGAATAATAAACATACATTTTTAAAGGGAAAAGCCATTCCAGGAAAAAACACTGTTGGACTTTCTAAAACTAATACTAAATCTGACAATACCATTTCATTATTAGCATGTTTTGAGGATTATGTAAAATAGGAAAAACAGAATCCCTAAAGAAAGCCCAACACGACAAAATTGAAAATGTGGCAGGCTCCGATTGATTGAGCCTGTTCATGGACGATACTGGAAAATGTAAGTTACCGTCCACGCCCAATAGCACCGGCGTAAGCAGAATTCAACATTTAAACACGGAAACGGTAAGATTTTGAACTTAGAAATATCCGCGGAAGTGTTCATATGTGTAAATATTATTAAGTTTCATGGAGATTTTATGCCTCACAAGCAAGATGTACTGTTGCCTAACGGCTCTTCAGTTCATGTATGTGAGCGAGCGGTACATGATGGAGACAGCGTCACACGTAAGCAAGTCCATATTTTTTATATTTGGACAAAGCATTTCCAACACATTAAAATTAAGAAGGTGAGTTTAAGTACTGTAGCACTTTGAATATTTAATTGAATCCATGTCACCCTTTTTTAATAACATGACTTTAATAATATGACAAACAGAGTCTGGAATTCTCTTGTAATTTTGTTGTGATTAATGCTTCCGAGGAATCGCTTTGTTTCCATATTTTTATACTTCACATCAGCAGGTGTCAAGTGTTGTGTGGCAGCTGTAAAACGTTGTCCCGTACTTCACTTCAGGGTTGTTATATTTTTCTGGTCCTTTGGGATCATTGATGCCAGCACTTTTAAGTGTTGAGAATTGAGTACCACTCAAACCGGTGCTAGGGGGCGAGAGGGATGTTGCACTTATTCATTATCCCTCATGTACAGACTCAATCAAAACGAGTCTGCAATTCTCTTGTAATTTTGTTGTGATTAATGCTTCCGAGGGATCACTTTGTTTCCAGATTTTAATAAATTAGATCCATTTCCCATAATCAATAGATTTTATTACTCGTACTTGAAGGAAAAACCAGGTGTTCTAGTTGCAAGAAAATAATTATTACGCAATGCCAAAGCAAAGCAAAATTTATAATAGAATCTACAACTTTATATGATTATCAAACGTTTGCAAATAATTTCAAAATAATGCAGTTTGAATACAACAAATGAGTATCAGTTGATATTATGATTATGTTGTTTATGACTTTCGTATATAAATAATTACAAACCACTGCCTCCATTAAATGCAGCATATGTGGAATGCTGGTCAGATGCAGAATACACGTTTCCTGCACTAAGGGCTCTAACTAATAAGAGAAAGGTTCACAATGGTAGATACATGTAAGTTTGATAATTTATTTAAGGTATAGCAAAGCATTTATAAGATTTTAGATTTGCTAGATTTTTGCCATTTTGTAACAATCTTTATCCATGTGAAAAGAAAGGAGATGAAAATTTAAAAGATTCTTTGTTTGAGTATTTTAAGGTGAAATTCTATATTATTTTATGATATAAATGACAATTATACTGTTCATATTTTTTCACAATGATTTTTGTAATAGGATAGTAATAAATTACTACTTATCAGGAGTAACGAAAATATTTAAAAATCTTTAATAGGACATTATAAATTCAAACTAAGGAAAAGTTCTAATTATCAAAACTTCTTACAACAAGCACGGACAAAGTAACTCCTTATTGATAGAGATTTTTAGCTTGAGCCGATACCGATAGACGAAGACGGCTAATTTTTTAAGGGGGCGTTTCAAAATGATTTGTTGTTTTTTTTAAAGAAAACAGAAGGCCAAGCCAAATATAATAATTGCATTTATTTTTATTACAAAAACCTGTTCATTTGCCCTGTCCTGTTTTTGTTTGGGGTCCCCCTGGGCTCCTTGCCATTGGTTCTTGTTGCTGGGTCATGTGGGGGTTGCATTCATTGAACGCCGCCTTTCCTTGTTGATCTTGTTTATCATATTTTCTGAATATCTAATTTGATTCAGCAGAATATTTCTCGACATCAAGCTGGTGAAGCAACCTTGGAACTTTGTAATTAATAAAATCGTTGTAAAATAATTGATTTTCTCAAATAATGCCAGCAAGCGGCCTCGTTCTTCTCCGTTTCTGTGTACGTGGGGGAGTAAGGGCCCAGTTACACAGACGGTCGGTCCCCAATCGGTCATTTAATTTTAAATTTACTCGCTGTTATGATCGGTTGTCATGCGTGATTTTATTTCTGGTTTTCTGTGTAAACGGCCATCGGTGACAAAAAGCAAACTCAAATAGGAATGGGTCGCTGAATAAATGCTGAAATACTTTTGG